AAAAAGCTGATTAGAACTCTGATTTTCAACAAAGTTGAAAATCAAAGTCTAGATCTGAAATAAGATTCTGGAATTAATTATAAAAATAATTAATTAAGGGGGGAATGCTACACTGACCATACAAAAAAACCAGCTGATGTCTTAACAACTAAAAGGAATATACAAATAACATATTAAGAGGGTGGATATTTTTTCCATATTGGATTTACAAATAGGCTTATTAAAGCTTTGAAGATCAAGTCTAGAGGTGTCAAACTCAATTTCATGGAGGGGTGCATCCGTGTTGTGTTTGACCTCAGGGGGCTGAGATAGGCGTGGCCAGTTCAACATTACTCATGTTGGGGGTGCCTGTGGCAGTCCAAGCACTCTGCCAGTGAAAATGAGCTCCTGAGCTCTGTTTTTGACTGTGATGGCCTACTGCAACTCTGCCAGCGAAAGCGGAGCTTGGGAGGGCTGCCCGTGCCTCCCCCAGCTCCATTTTTGCTGGCAAGGCCGGTCCTTTGCTGTTTCCAGGTCAGCCCTGTGGGCCAGATCTAAGTACCCCGCGGGCCAGATCCAGGCCCCAGCCCTTCAGTTTGACACTCCTGATCAAGAGTGTTAAAAGTAAAAGAAAGAAATATAAAGATGGTTTATATGATAAAGGTTAAAACAGATATATTATCTCTGATAACCTAAGTGGATTTTTGCTGATTCTAATTGAAATGATTAGGTTTTTAAGGATTTGTGATGGAGTATGCAAAGAAGAGATCATTTGTTTAAGATAAGGTGATTACTTTTTTATACTTGTGATGAAAGGGAAGTCATACCTATATATCTATTTCTATATCTATATATCTATAATTATATTCTTATGTTTTTGTTTATTGTTTAACACCTATTCTTTTTTTTAATTTGTACCAATTTCTTATCATTATCATTATAAATGCAGCCTCTAACTTACAGAATGGCTGCATATGACTACAGTAATATATGCTGAACCATGCAAACATACAGTATTCTTCTTAAGACCCAAACCAAAAATGTTGCTTACAACATATTTTGCCTTAAGCTTCCAGCTGAGATTAACTCCTTATTCATTAACTTCAGAGTAAAATAAAAGCATTGAGAAATATATTTGATTTATGAACAATCCTTTTACCATTTGCATAGATTCACTCTAAATTTTCATGAGCACAATAACATGCTAAGATTTTTGCAAGGTTTGTATGCATTTTTATAACAATTAAAAGAAACACTATATAAACATGAAATAGAGAAATAGCCACAGAGGATTCTCTTGAAAATGCTTAACTGTGCCAGATGTGGAAGACCCCAAAACATCAGGGTTTTATACTAGAAGGGTGAAAAATATCACAGAAGGCAATTGCAAATCATTTCTGTATAGTCACCAGTAAAACTAACATATTCATGTAGTATTCAAGGAGACTTTAGCCTAATAGAGAAATGAGCACATAATTGTCTAGACTAGAAGAAGGTGGCCTCCAAATGTTTAAACTGTGATCTCTGAAATTCTTTATATTGGTCATGCTAGCTGTCTAAACTTAACAAATTTAGTCTAAATTTCTGGAGAACTCTAGATGACCTATTTCTTTGATCTTTGTCTTCTTAGCAAATAGTTATGTCAGGAGAAATAATATTCTTCAAGGATAGTCTTTCCCAATCAAATCCAGATTTGCCCTCCAGGTTTTATATCATTAAAGGTCCCATATGGCTGTTTGGAAAGCATGTGGCTGTAAGAGCCTGATTTGGGCTCTTTGTTATTAATAATGAAGGTTAAAATCAGGAAATTAATGAAAGAAAAAACTACAAACTGTCAGCAAATAAGCAATACTGCCAATTGATTTTGGAGAAAGTTATTATTCTCTACCAGCTCAAGGTATTGTGGAAGAGATATTAAATACTCAACTGCTCAATATTCAGACAGGGCCATTTGGAAAACTGCTGAGCTGAGCAGGCAATGCAAAGAGCCAATCTTAGTACCATTGCACTGCTAAGCATATATCCATTTACAAGACAGGTGCAAAGGCTGCTCTGACCTCAAGGCTGGAAAAATATACTGAGCTGTTCAGATCATCTCCAGATTGTAAAACTAATGTGCAAAAGTTGTATTGCAAACAACATTTAAAAGTTACAAAGTGTTCTTGGAAAAAGAAAATTATTGAACCAATTCATACAAGGATCTTTTGTTCTTTAAAAACATTCCAAATACCTAAACAAATTTTAAACCATGAAACTGTGTCCAGGGCAGAACCCTCCTAGACAGGAACTGCGACTAGTAGTCATAGTATTAAAACAATATAGACAACCATTGAACGTGAATGTTATCATTCAGACTTACTTTGCAGTCTATACCAATATTTTCTTAGATAAGTAATATTTAATTTTTAAATTCTTTTGTAGGACTATACAACACTATACAATACAGAGAAGACACTAGGGAATGCAGAATGGGATATGTTCAACTGGGATATAAAGTGAATTGCTAAAGATTTAACAAGGATATCAGTTACAGTTATTACATACCTAGTAATCAGATGCAGCACAACAACCTAAGTCTATTATATAATAAGACCCTCAATAAAATACAAAAGCCTTTTGGAAGGCTCCCCTATTCTACTTCCATAAATTAGTATATGTCCAGTAAATGGAAAATTGAGAATTTGTTTAGCAGAATCTACCAGAAAAAATATATATAAATCTACTCTGAAGGAAAATTAATCTAGATTGAAGAAAGAAAGCTACGTATGTTAATTTAAAGTTCCTAAAAAGGTCCTGTGGCATTCAGGAGATAATACTCTTACTAATAAAAAAAGTGCTGGTTATGTTTTTAAGACGTATATCTGTTTATTTTTTGATCTTGGAAGCTGACGCAAAAAATATGAAGGTTCTGTAATATGTTTTTCAAGTACCATATCATGCATCAATTTTCAAGATAAAACAGCAATCCTGAACTAAAATGTAGCAATCAATAGTTATGCTGTAACATTATATTCCCTGACCTATAATTATTAGGAATTGGGTCACAGAGGCTAAACTTATAATAAATATAACACAGTTGCTTGTCTTAAAAAAGACAGGATAATTTATGTACTTAGGGTACTTTCTCCTCACTCCTTTGTCCTGTCAACCTCTATACGATCTTACTTAAATCAGTTATTAATATACTAACAACAGTTGTACACCATGTTGTGTATTAGTTTAAAATTTTGTTAGTTTGGGTTTTTTCAGTGGCTTATTAACCCAGAAAATAAATTCATTAAACTAGCCTAAGCATCTTGTCTGAACATAACAGGTGATATTAATTTGTATTACTAAATAAAATGCCCTTCTGTTCCATATTAGTTTTATTTTTAAGGAATCCAATCAATTGACATCCACTATCATAAATATCTGTAGTATTTTCCTTCAGTGACTAGTCATATGAAAAAAGACATAAACAGTTATAAAAACTTAAAATTAAGACAATACTTTCCTGCATAAAGTAATCAAACCTATGAGAAATTCTGCAAATCTTTGGAAAATGTTAAGGTTCCAGTTCAATGATATATTAAAAGAAGTATTAAGTTTAATATTCATTAACATAAAGCAATGTAACACATAATTAACTTTGTACAAAGATGAATTAATTGTAAGGTTTGTAATACTTGTTTAACTGAACCAGCCAAAACATTTAACATATCAAAGCTGCCTTGCACAATGACTTTTAGGTTCTCTTGAGTAATCAGAATCATGGCGAAAGCAAATAGAAAAGACAAGAAGTCTGTTAAAGAAACAGCAGAAAGATTTGGAGATTAAACAAAAACTAGATACACTTAAAGTATAGTATGTATAGAAAACTACACTTACAAAATAATTATAAGTTATTTTAAAATTAAGTTTCTAAAGATGGGTATGTTGGGAAAGATTGAAGACAAAAGGAGAAGACAGTGGCAGAGGATGAGATGGATAATGTATGCACAAATGTGAATTTTGCAAATTGCAGGAAACAGTGGAGGGGCATGTTATGGTCCATGGTATTGTGAAGAGTTGGACATGACTTACGACTGAACAAGAAACGTGGCTATTCAATTTGACCCTTCACTACTACTACTACTACTACTACTCATTGAACATCACCCTCCAGACATATCAGATATGAGCATTTTTATGTTTTTGGAAAATGGAAAGACACATCGAAGAATATATGCAGAAAGGCACTGTTTCCATGTCAATCTCAGAGCAATAGGGACTAGGTATTTCAAACTATCTGCAAGAACTTGATGGGATTCCACCACAGCCTGAGACAAAAAACAAACAAATGCAAACTCCATTCACTTGGACATAGCCAATTTTCTATCAAATGAAGCTTGGTCAAAGGTCTTTGTTTTTTTTTTAACTAACAGGTGCCACCGTCTGAACAAGTCTGAAAACCTTCAATTTGGAAAGCTTCTCTTCCCCAAAGAAAATTCAGAATACATGGAAACAAGCAAGATCAGACACAGCAATCTGTTCTACCTAGGCTACAAGAAAAAGAGGGGAGCTGCAATCAGTACAAGGAAAGATGAAGTTATCGCCCTTAAGAGAAAAGAGAACAGGCGGGAGATAGCAGAGCTAAAATACTCCCAAAAGACACAAAAAATGTGGCGAGTTTTTGAAGGCTTCTTCACAAAGCAGCAGAAGCAGCCTGCGGGGGCTGAGATGGACCACTTCCCCTCAGAAGCACAGAGGACAGAGAACGGCCACCCCACACTTCAAACTCGATTAAAAGCCCCATCCTCGTTCCCACCAACTCCCAGCGCATGTTTGTTCAAGATACTACACATGCGTACTTTCCCTCTCGCGCTTTCTACAAAACAGAATCCCACGCGTGCGTGGTACCCACCATCTCCCTCAGGTCAGAGACCGAGGACCTGGTTCTCCTCCCCTCCGGCCGTTGACCGGTGGCCGCTGCCGCACGACCTCCCTCCCCCCATCCCCGTCGGCCCACGCGATGCCCTCGGACTCCAACGGCTCCCCCTCACCTCATAGTACTTCATAGCTCCGCGCTCGTTTTCGCTCCCGTGGCGTAAAGCACCCTTTCCCCTCACGTGACACGCTCTAACTTCGTTGAAGGGGGGGCGCGGCGCGAAGAATTATAAGGCGAATCACGGGGAACTCTTATCTCGGACGATCAGCCAATTAGATGGTAGCAACTACCCCTTCCCGCCTACGTGCCCACCTCCAAACGTCACCATGGCAACTTGTAGCGCGTGACCACGCCTGACCCAATCCAGTGGCCAAAGGGTAGAAGTGGCAACCCGTCGAAGCAATCATCACATCCGAGAATGTCGCCTTGATCCAATCACGAAGCTGCAAACAAATATAGATGACCTTCGAAGGGTTGCCGCAGGTGATGCGGTGGGAGCTGAAAAAAGATTCCGAGGGCAAAGGTCCCCATGCGCGCTTTCTTACCTGAGAGCAGCAGCTGTTAAGAGTCCGTTGGAAGTTCCTTCAGAGTCGGCCGCAAGCGAGCTCAAATGATCGGCATGAGAACGGTTAGTTCCGTTCCTGTCGGTCGAAAGTGTGGCTGCTGTGTAGAGTTGCTCCACATCACTTTTACACTGGAGTAAGTCTCAATAGAACGAACCATGTCTATGTTCCAGTTCAGTAACTATCAAATTAGTTCGTTGCCAGTCGGTCGGGCTCGATTCCTGGCGGTTCCGTGTACAAGTACTTGGCCTCATTTTGGTAACAAGTCATTTTCTTCCAGGAGTTCCAGTAACTTCTTCCATTCCATCTCACCCAAACCCATAATTCGAAGGGATCCATTTTTTTTCCTCAGTGAAAACTTCTTTTCAGAGCCCACCTTTTCACAGTCCTGTATTGCCATTGGACTATTAATTTAACCATTCTGACCTACCTTGTTGTAAATAAAGGCTCCTTACGCTGATCCTAGGTTTGTGTGTGTCACCGCTTTCCTTCCAAGAATTTGCTCCCTCTTCGCTTTATCCGTTCTTTAACCCAAGTAAGCAAAATTATTTCCCACCTTAATTTCTGCATTAAGTTTACATTCAGAAAGAGTGGAGGTTGGCATTAGTTTTGTCTTGGTGTTTATCATTAACTTAGATTTTTTTTTCTTTCCCCTCTTTATTTTCATGAACAACTCTGCTGAATACTTCCAACTTCTAAATTGTGTTGTCGTTATTTAAAAATTTTTGGATGCCCAGGTTTGATTCTGTCATATCTTTGAGTTCTGTCATTCTTAAATTATATTCATTTTATAAGTCCAATATGCAACAGACTACTGCAGTGCATTCTACATGGGGCTGCTCTTGAAGAACATCTGCAAGTCTCCACTGGTACAGAATGCAGCTGCACGGGTAGTAAAGGGTGTCAGATATCCAACATATATAACATCATTTTTTTGTGAATTGTATTGCTTGTCAGGGTGTTCCCAGGTACAATTCAAGGAGCTGGTTATCATCTTCAAAGCCCTCCAAGGCTTAGAGGTGAGTTACTTTAGGGTCTTTCTAGGGTCATAAGTGTGTTAAGGGACTTGTTTCCTGGGTGTATTACCATCCATAGTAATAGTTTTACAATAGTATTGTATATATTTACTTTCATTTTATGTTTTATAATATTCACCAACCAGTGTTATCTGGGGTGGCTATAGCAATCAAATGGCAATTGTATCCACATCTTACCTTTTTCTTGTTCTGCACTGCTGCAAATTTTAAGTTCAGTTCTTACTCTTCCATTTCCATATTGTAAACTTTCAGAAGAAAATCCATTGCTTTGACAACCATTAATCTTACTGTATTTCAGGGTCTAGAATGATCTACATAGACAAAGGTTTTGCTATAAATTGTTAAAGGTAAATGCTGTATTCTCATGATCTCTTTATTATTCATGTTATGGTAACTTTGATTTCATGTCCCTTTGCCTTTTCTGAAAAATGTCCATTTGTTTGATATTTCTCTTATCTATGTACATTTCTATTTGTAAGGTCATGAACCAATTTTGTCTTGCATAGAGAATTCTGTTTTCCGGGTGATATCTTACTGACATCTTATTAAAAGGGGAAAATACCTAAATGTTAATTAGCAGCTTTCCCAATGATTCTATTGTCTTGTCATTACATGCAGTCATATGGTGATGAAATTGTTTAAAATGATGCCTGGGAAAATCCTCTCATCTAAGAATATGGGCAAGCAGGAACTAGTACAAAAATCCACCTGGTGATTCATACATACCCAGAGCTAGGAATGGCCCAATAGAATTTTGTGTGCCACTCCCATCTATTTTCGTATTTAGTGAGCATCAGAAAACTGACATTGTCAAATAAAATAATATTAGTTTTTCACTTATTGAAAGTTGATGTTGTTACACTATTTTATTAATTTGCTAATTTACTTGCATGTCCCCTCCAATGATGTCTGATTCTGAATAGCTTATAGATTTCCAAACATTACAACTAAACATTGTAATACTGTAAACCTAAAAGCAACCATTAGACCACTGTCATCTGCAGAGAGTAAAATGGTTCCCTCAGCTCCAAAGGACCATTGAAANTTTTACATAACTTGGACAAACATAACTTTAAGGTTTTTTTTGGCATTTTATATCTTAAATGCACTTATGTGAATTAATTAATAGTAATTTGGACTTTAAATTTGGTTAAAAACCCATAATATAAAAAAATACCAAAAATTTAAAAAAATGATAAATTTGAAGACAATTTTGCATGTCGTGGCAAATCATGACATCTAGGAGTTTTTTCAATACATGGAAATTAGATAAAAATGATCAAATGCCTTTTTAGTCGCAGACCTGTGATCCAATCAGTTTTCATGCCTAAAGTGGGACTACAATTTAGTCTTCTAGTTTCTATTTATCTTCTACGTTGGCTTCACATTGGAAATTTCTCCTTAGATTTAGTTTGCTTCTGTCCTTGATTAGTTTCCATCCACTGTTTCTTGTTCTACCCTCAGGTGCTTTGGAGAATAGTTTGACTCTCTCTTCTTTGGGGCAGCCCCTGAACACTGCTATCATATCTTCCCTAGTCTTTCTTTTATTAAATTAGACATACCCAGTTCCTGCAACCGTTCTTCATATGTTTTAGTCTCCAGTCCCCTAATCATCTTTGTTGCTCTTCTAAAGATTGTATGATAAAGTGGGCTAAGAACTTTGGTTATACTATATAGATGGAGCAATGGGAAAATAGGTGATTAAAGGAGTTAAAATTTACATTGGGGTTATGAATTGATTGATTGATTGGATTGGATTTATTTGCTGTCCATCTTGTAACAAAACAACTCTGAGAGACTTTCCAAGATTAAAACATTAAAACCCTAACAAAAACATATCTCTAAAAACAATAAAAATAGAAATCCCATCAAGATGAAACTTAAAGAGAACTTTTATAAAATTATGAATGTACAGAAGGATACAGAAAACAGAAGGACATTGTATTATGCTTAGTGGGCATGTAAAAAAAAAGCTTTAAAAATAGGTTCAAATACATACTTTGATACAGAGGATTCTAAAGTTTAATATTCAATTAAAGCCAGAAGTTTTCCTTTTATAACTAATGGATAAAGAGTTAGTAAAAAGTCATGGAAGATTATTTGAATCTATGATTATTGCAGCAAGATTATTATATGCACAGAGATGGGAAGATTCAACGCTATCCATTATAGAGGAATGTGAAATTGATAGATCTTGCTGAGATGGATAAATTAACTTCTTTGATTAGAAAAAAGGCCCTATCTATATTCATTGGTGACTGGAATCTTCCTATGGACTTTTTACATCAAAGTGCAGAAAATGAATTTGTGATTTATGGTTTTGATGGTTAGACAGGCTAGAATATGGAAAGAAGAGAATTAGGTGGAACTGTAGCGAGACAGTAGTTAAAATATAATACTACTTATAATTGCTGTGAGGAATATTGGAAGCTATCTCTTTGTGTCATTTTTGTTTCTTTTCTATTTTTCTTAACTTTCTTAAATTAATTTTCTTTTTCTTCCCTTATTTTTTTGCTTTCTTTCTTTTCTCCTACTTACTTCACATTAGTTTGTTAACTATGTTCTGTTTTAAAAGTTTCAATAAAAATCACATATGGATTTTAAGTACTCCAAGAATGTAAAAAAAAAAAATACGGAATATAATAATTAGCAAACGTTGATGCCATATACTAATATCTAAATTCTAAGCCTTAAGTTTCAATCTAGTCCCATATTAATATATGAATAGCCTTAGCTATTTCAGAACATAGCCGAGAATTAAAAAAAAATGAGACAATATTTCATTCTCTGTAGTGACCTCCCTCTGTGTATTGTGTGTTCTGTACATACGCATAAGTGTGTTCTTTATGTATTTTTCTGGGAGCCGACTTCAAAAGGTTCTTGCAAGATCTACCCCCAAAGTTAAGAATGACAAAAAAACAGGCTGTAATAATAATTTATGCCTATTGAGTTGTGGCACTCAATGACACCCTTACAAAATAATATATCATAATGACCACTGAGATACTTTCATGTTATACTTTCACATTTTTGCACTCATACCTTCTCCTGCAAGTTCATTTTATCATTCTCAAATAGAAGACAAAATGAGCCCACAAAAGCATTATGAGATTTTGGAAGAAAGCTTATATTAAGGTACCATGTATGAGTCTTTTTCCAACTAGCAATGCTTCAAATATTGAAGATATTTGAATGGTAACAGCATCACTTGCACAGTTTTTGTATGTTTTTATTTGTAGAACAAATATCCCAAATGTATTTCAGGGGAAAAAAATATATACCAATGTTTTCTACATAAAATCTACATTCATTTTATGGGAAAGAGTATAGAAACGTGTAAACCAGGGGTGCCCAACTTTGACAATCTTAAGACTTGTGGACTACAACTCCCAGTCAACATGGCTGGTGTGGGAATTCTGGGAGTTGAAGTTAACACATCTTAATATTGGCAACGTTGAACACCCTTGGTGTAGACAATTCCCTTAATGTAAATTGTTAGTACATTGCCTTTTCAAGAACTCATGCATCTTCCCAGCTATTTAGAATAACTATCCATGCAGTGTCTCTCTTTCCTTTTTTAAAGAAAGACAGTAGAGGAGGTGATGGACACACAACTGCAACTACAAACATTTCCAGAGGAA